GGGGGGGGGGGGGGGGCCCCCCAAGAAACCCGAAAAGCCGGTAGCGCTCGGGCTTTGGGCAGCCCCTATGCCTCCGGACCCTGTGCCCCCAGCCGGGCGCTCCCTCCCGGGCTCCAGCTGCGCTGGGGAAGCGCCAGCTGGGGGCGCAGGGTCTGGGGGCTGCCCGGGAAACCGTGATGCTGGTAGCACTGGGGCAGCCCTTTCCCCCTGGCTGGGAGTGGGAGGGAGGAGGGGGCGGAGTTAGGGTGGGGAAGGGGCGGCATTGGGGCGGGGCTAGGGGTGGGGAAATGGGCGGGGCCATGGCCCGTGGAGGGTCCTCTTTTTTTATTTATGAGATATGGTAACCCTACTATACACTCAACCTACAGATTTGACTTCAGCAGACTTTGGTTCAGAGCCTCAGATGTGTCTGATCTGCAGCACTATGGGGAGTAGAAATTACTGAGATCTCTATTTAAAAAAGCAAAGACATGACTACATACATAACGGGGCAGATCTGTTGAATAAGGAGATGCCATTGTTTGTGTTGTCTTTTTTCTGAAAATTACTGCACTTTAATCCTTTGATTTAAATTTCACTTCACTTATAACGTCAGCATAATTATTTTGGAAGGGCTGTATAAGTCATGATACAATAGTTACAATACAAAATGACAATAATTAAACTAAAATTCTCAGATATGCAAGACTGCTGTGCAGCGCAGGCAGAGTAGGTTTCCATTGTGGATAATTTCATGTTCCCTTTGTATTGCTGGGTTAATTATATTTTCTGTATATAAATATTGTCATTTGTCTACTATTATTACTGTTCAACGGTAACAAGACAATTTTATATTTTTACTCTTATTTTTCTGACTTGGAGCCTTTATAATTTACTTGTGCAAGCATGTAGTACTCCTGTCTCTGTAGACAGTGTATGTGGGTTGCATGGTAATTTGGTGTAACCACACTGAAAACCCTTTGGTAGATGATGAAGTAGGGCAGTTTTTTATAAAGATAAGTCAGTACTTAAATGACTAGGAATTCCTAGTATAGACCTAAATATTTCTTTTTGATCTTATATTATGGTATGCTGTGGCATATATGCTACCATATAAGGGTATGAATCTTGTAGTATTTAGAATTAAAGCTTTCAGAAAAGGAAATAAAATGGTCTATATTTTATATTCAGGGAGTAGTTTTCCTCAAGGATATTCAGAGAGTGGGATCTGATTCATGAAGCAATTTGAATCTACTCATGCTAAAACCTTTTGTGCAACTTTTGCAATACAGGTGTGTGAAGAAAGCAAAATTTGGTTTCAGAATCAGTTTTCTGGAACTCTTTGGAAGAGTGAAAATCCCTAAAGCCCCTAATGGCAAAAAATTAGGTCTAACATTTCTTTCGAAGTATTATTATAAGATAACCCAAAGCCTGCAAGTAGAACTGGTTGAAGAAATAGTTTTTCTGCATGTGGAAAATTGACAAAACTAAAGTTTTTTCCTGATTTTGTGGAACTTTTAGGGGAGATATTTAGACTAAATACTGAAACATTTCAATTCAGAATGGCACTTCAGGGCCTCTTATGAGTTTGGGTGCTTTATGCTCTCATTCTCCTCTACAGACTTGGTTCCCTGGTTGGACTACATCTTCCCTGATACATCATGTTTTCTCCTCTTGGTGAAGGAAGAAGGTATGTCCCAAGAGTCCACTTGGCTGTGGTGCATCATGAAAAATGTAGTCTGACCAGAGAACATGATCTAGGGGAGAACAGGAGCATAAAATATCTGAACTGCAATTCCTGTGAGCCACTGTGGTGCCATTTTAGCTGATATATTCTGCTGAAACAGATCCTTTGTGAAAAATTCCATTAAGTCAGAAACCCAATGTTCTACTGAAAGACAGAACAATAGAATATTTTTGGCCAGCTCTAGTTCTAAAGTAAATTAAATGGTCAAGTAACTGTTCTTTTATTATAGAAACCCTAGTTGTACAATGTGAATGTCAAGCACCCATATGCCCTAGTTATTTAGAATCTTAGGCTATGATGCAGCAGCTATAAAGTTAAACATGATTAGAGTGGCAACCACAGGAATTAAAATTTCAGCTACAGAAGACAAATACAAAAGTGGAGACACTTCGGTCTATTACTATATAAAGTGGCTTTTCCATTTTTGTTGTTTCACACATATAAACAGATTATACCCAATATGGGCTTGTGCATTTGTACACTATATTTAGAAAAGCACATTCCCCCTTCCAACACACAAACCTTATATTGAGAGCTAGCTGGAAAATGAGAACCTCCACAGAAAATTTTCTACTTCTTGTTAAAAGCCAGCATTTGGCTTTTGGTGAAAGTTTTAGGTTTTATAACTGTCGGTAAAGCTCTCATTTACTCATTGAGAAAACCAATTTTCCATTTAGAAAGTTTGATGTAAATTTCCCCCCTTACTTAGGTTCTCTCTCACTATTTTAGGAGCCAGTCTTTCTCCCACTGAAGTCAACAGCACAAGTTCTGGCATGTAATTATGTCTTTCCTGAATAAGCATAACTCCTGCTGCACACCAGCAAGTCTGTCTGTCTGCAGTGTAGTAGGGGTAGGGAGCATATTCAGGTTCTTATTGACTTTAGTAGTGTGTGCAGGAAAAGGCCCCTATATGGGATTAAAGGTATTTTCCAGTTACATGTAAATAAAAATGTCAATATTATAGCCACATTTTGTTGAATGAATTTTCTTGATCCTTATATCATATTCAATCTCATTTTTCTATATACAGCATCAGCACACATACAATATAAAAGCATAATCATGTTCTTAAAACAGCAAAGTAAAGTGCCCTGGAGACAGCAAGGTATAGGATTTCTATCACAACACCCAAGAGCAGGAAAAGAATAATTTTACAGCTTGGATAGGTCCCCATTAAACAATCAAAAAACACCATAAGGTCTAGGTTTTAAAGTCTTTCCTCAGATTTTCATACCACAGAAACAGACATACAATAAAGAAAAAAAAATGAACTACTTACCAAATCTTTCTTTGTTTTCAGAACTTAACCAAACACAGGAAAAAGGGGGAGGGGGGAAAATCTTATCCACTCTTCCATTTTATAGGCCCAGCTGTTGTGATTTTTGTTAAAGTTAGTAATTTGTCTCAGCTGAACCCAGTAATATTCCCCCACATTATTGGAATGTTTAACAGGCCCTGCTGTGAGGGAAAAAAAACTGTTGCAGCTTTCCTCTTCAGGGAAAAAGATTTAACTCCATCCCTGCCAGTCACCATATGTAGTCTATATATGTTCCATCATATATACACCCCCAAAGTCTGCAAAGATGGAAAGTATTCATCATGTGATTTCCTTAAGTAGTACAACATTCATTTTGCATAAATAAAAACTGCAAAGGATTGAACACCATGGTATGACCCCAATCCTGTAAACACTTACACAATCTGCAACTTTACTTATGCAAGTAGTTCAGTAGGCCTACTCACACAAGTTAAATTACATACATGAGTAAGGCCCAGATCCACAAAGGGCCTTAATCACTTAAACCCCAGATTTAGGCTACACTGCAATTCATAACACCACTGCTTAGCTACCGACTAACCCTAAATTTGCATTACATCTAAAATTTCCCTAGTCACCAAAGTTTCTGCCTCTGGACAGGTGCACTGCTGCTGCTTCAGTCCAGGTGCCGATCGCCCACCAAAGCCCAAGCATGAGCCCCAGAGAAAGATAGGCAGAGGAGTGCCTGCCTTCTATGTGTGAGTTCTATAGGTGTGTTCTGAACATGCCTAGCAAGCCCCATTCAAAATCCAGCCTGAGGATAAACTACCACCCACCTTCTATCTTTTAGCTCAGTGCTTAGAGCAATCACCCAGGATGTGGGAGCTGCAGGTTCAATTAGGGTGACCAGATGCCCTGATTTTATAGGGACAGTCCTGATTTTTGGGTCTTTTTCTTATATAGGCTCCTATTACCCCCCACCCCCATCCCGATTTTTCACACTTGCTGTTTGGTCACCCCAGATTCAATTCCTCCCTCTACCAGATGGGGAGAAATTACTTGAACAGGGGTCTCTACCGTCTCTCAGGAGGGTGCTCTTAGCAACAAGTAATGGGATACCCTGATATGGAATGCCCTCTGGCTAACTTGTTGAAACTCATCCACTTTGGATAAATAATTCAAGAATCATTGGCACAAAAGGATTGGGCCCTGGGTTTCCCACCTCCTATGTGGGTCCCCTAACAACTGGCTTGTAGAGTTATTTTCATTCAATTCTCTAGCCCACTGAGGCCATGGCTACACTCAAAACTTCAAAGCGCTGCCACGGGAGCGCTCCCGCAGCAGTGCTTTGAAGTGCAAGTGTGGTCGCGCGCCAGCGCTGGGAGAGAGCGCTCCCAGCGCTGCAGGTACTCCACCTCCACGAGGGGATTAGCTTACATGGCTCCCAGTGCTGGGGCACTGTTTACACTGGCGCTTTACAGCGCCGTAACTTGCTGCGTTCAGGGGGGTGTTTTTTCACACCTCTGAGCGAGAAAGTTACAGCGCTGTAAAGCGCCAATGTAACCAAGCCCTAACTATTTAAGTGTTTATACATAGTGAAACAAATTCAACAAATAAGATTGAGCCCCCTCCCATATCTCAGTGGTTAGTGCTCTCTTCAGAGAGATAGAATACCTCTGTTCAAATCCTTTTGCCTTTTCAGACAGAAAGGGGAAATGAATCGGGTCTCCCACATCCAGGGGAGTACTCTAACCACTAAGCTAAAAGATATAAACAGGGCTACTCCTCTTCCTCTGGTCATTCTATGTGGAGTGAGGCAGGCACTTAAGTCATTCTGACAAGAAATGATTTAGGCTCCTAAACTGCCTGGCTCCACAAGAGGGATGCCCAGCTATGGATTACAAGAGGAGATAAGTGCATCCCTGCAGCCTGGATTTAGACTCCTAATTCGGTAGATGGATGGATCTTAGGAAATACCTACCCTTCATGCTGGTATCGCCCATAAGCTACTTTAGGCAACTCCCCACCTAACATTTGTGGATCATGTTCTTAGGCACCGGTGTCTCCCCATTCATTGTATAGGGAGTTTAGGTGTCTATCTCAGCAGAGCCGGCTTTAGCAGGTGCGGGGCCCCATGCTGGGACGCGAATTGTCTCTCGCCCCCCCCGCCCCAACTCCGCCCCAGCCCCGCCCGCTCCCTGCCCCATTGCATCCCTCCCCAAATCCCCGCCCCCTCCCTGCCCCATTGGATCCCTCCCCAAATCCCCGTGTCTTCCCCAAGCACGCCGCATTCCTCCTCCTCACCCCTCCCTCCCAGGCTTGCACTGATCAGCTGTATGGCAGCGCAAGCGTTAGAGGGAGGGGGGAGAAGCAGGAAGCGGCTTTTTTTTTTTCCTCTGCTCCGCCGGCAGCCCAGGATGTTGCGGGGCCCTCTTAGGCGCGGGGCCCCATTCCAGGGAATAGGCTGAATCAGCTTAAAGCTGGCCCTGTATCTCAGGCTTTGTGGATCTCGTTGTTCCAGTCATTTTCTAGACACCTTTGGCCTTAGAGTTACACATGATCTTAGCCAAAAGGCCAAGAAGCGAATACACCCTTTCCTTTAATGCTGTCCTACAGACTCTTATTGAAGGGGTTGCTCAGTAAGCATCTTAGCTTGGCAGCTGGGTAAACACAACTCTAGGAAGGAAGTGGCAATGGCAATGAAAGGGAGCAGGGATAAAGAGGCAGTAGCCAGAGAAAGAAGTGAAAGAAACTTCATTTCCCATAATTATGATACATAGAAGGGGTTTATAACTATTACTTATAGAGTGCTGTAAGTGTACCTGTGATGCTGCCAGGAGCCAGCTCATGCCAAAGCCCCAGGTCAATTCACTTGTTTATTAATATAGATCAAAGTGATTGTTCAATGTAGAAGAATGTATTGGTGTTTAAACATCATGAAAACTTATGGGATGTTACATGCATTGTTTTCACTTATCTGTATCTTGTTAATACTTTGCATTGTATATGACCCCCGATATCTAAATAACCTTCCAAACATGAAAGAAGCCTTGTGTAATGCAAATGAAGGACACTTATCAGAAAGATAATGCACCTTGAGCACTTCAAAGTGAGGGCATTCAGAGTTCAAAAACTCTAAAAACATCCCTCTCTTACGGCCATCAAAGAAGAAAACATGTGATAGCTGTCCTGTCAAATTGTTCTAAGAGAACTAATATATATATGGATACAAATGAAAATCCTTCATCTCTTGATTATTTGGATTCTAACAAGGCAGAATATCTGAATGAGAATACAGAAATCCCTAGAGTTATTGTGTGTAGTCCTGAGAAACTTTTAGGAAACTGTCAGATTACTATCTCTCTGCTACAATTTGGAATTATAGACTGTGACTCATCTGTGCATATATTTACCTGCTTTAACTTCTCAATAATTCTCATTTATTTTCTTAGCTAATACACATTTAGCTATTTTTACTATGGAATTGGGTACCAGCATTGTCTTTGGTGTGAGATCTAGGATGCAACTTGACTTGGATGAGTGACTGGTCTCTTGGGAGTGGGATTAACCCGGAATATTTGTTATTTTTGGTGTAAGTATCCATTTATCTCATAATCAAGCTTGCCTAGGTAGCAAGATAGACTGGAATATCTAATGGGACTGTCTGTAACTCCATTATAATACTATTGTAGTCCTGTGGGAGTTCACATTTAGTACTGGGTTGATGAAATCTAGTTATAGAACATGCCACCACTTTGGGATGTCTGCCCCGCTTTTGGCAGTCTGCCTTGACGTCAGCACTCATTGGCGTGAGTCCTTCAGATAGAATGGCAGTATTGAAATGCACCAATTGTAATAATCTTTGCCCCAATGATTTCTGATTGTAAATGCACAAGCAGGTACAATACTAGACAATAACAAACACACAAAGAGTGTGGTAATGGTCTTTATAGTCGGACGGCACAACAGAACAGATTATATTTTTTCAGAAAAGGAGAAAGGTGCTTGGTAAACACAAACTGGGGTAGTACTAGTTCAGTCTGAGTGTTGTGACTGAATGAAAATGTCTATTTGTATAATGAACTATATTATTGCACTTTTGACCTCTAAGCTGTTTGAAGTTTGCCTCACTATATATTATCTCATCGTTTTTCCACAGCATCAACACAGATCCTGTGGAGCAAGTGATTTCCCATATCCAGACTGCCCTTACTAGCTTGGTAATGACATTAGGTAGTGTTCATTAAGTATGTTCATTTACTCCTTTGGCATATCTCCAAAGTGGAGGCTTAGTAAGCAATCAGTTGAGGAAAGCCCCAGTTCAAGATAATGTACTTGTTCTATAAGGTAGTTCACTGTTCTATATTGAAGCACCATTCTTCCCTCTCTTCTCCAATTAGAAGTGAATGAGTTCATGAAATGATAAAGTTCAGGATTCTTAGGAATGGTAAGAGGGAAAACAGCATAATAAAGATAATGGACTTCAAGAAGTCAGGCTTTAGCAAACTCAGGGAGTTGGTAGGTAAGATTCCTATGGGAAGCAAATCTAAGGGGGAAAAACAGGTTGACAGAGTTGGCAGTTTTTCAAAGAGATATTATTAAGGGCACAAGAGCAAACTATCCCACTGCACAGTAAAGATAGTAAGTATGGCAAGAGACCACCCTGGCTTAATCAGGAGATCTTCAATGATATGAACCTCAATAAAGAGTCCTACAAAAAGTGAAAACTAGGTCAAATTACAGAGGATGAATATAAACAAACAAAACAAGCATGTAGGGACACAATTAGGAAGGTCAAGGCACAAAATGAAATTAAGATAGCTAGGGACATAAAGGGTAACAAGAAAACATTCTACAAATACATTAGAAGCAAGAAAAAGACCAATAACAGGGTAGGCCAATTACTCAATGAAGGGAGAAAGACAATAACAGAAAGTGTGGAAATGGCAGAAGTACTAAATGCCATTTTTGTTTGTTTTCCCCAAAAAGGATAATAGCAAGCGGATGTCTAGCATAGTGAATGCCAGTGAAAATGAGGTAGGATCTGTGGCTAAAATAGGGACGAACACAAGAACATAAGGATGGCCATACTGGATCAGACCAAAGGTCAATCTAGCCCAGTATCCTGTCTTCCGACAGTGGCCAATGACAGGTGCCCCAGAGGGAATGAACAGAACAGATAAACATCAAGTGATCCATTGCGTCGCCCATTCCCAGCTTCTGGCAAATAGAGGCTAGGGACACCATCCCTACCTATCCTGGCTAATAGCCATTGATGGACCTATCCTCCATTAATTTATCTAGTTCTTTTTTGAACCTTGTTATCATCTTTGCCTTCACAACA